AACTAAGAGGCCTAGGGTTAATATGTTTGGCCAGTAGCAAGCTGGGATGAAGTTTGTTCAAATTAATGACCATTACTTATATTCAAGATCACATGTAGATTTCCCGCTGCCAATGTTAAATGCAAACATGCCAGGTGACTATTTTGGCCCATGTGCCTCTTGGTTTTTTTTAAAAGCTGGTCAGAATATGAATTTTTAAGTATATCAGACCTGCAGGTACTGGGAGCTTTGTCTCCTTAAATTGATAGGGGATCGATGTTTTTTAGCTCACCTGGCACCGAAGAGTCAAGTGAGCTTATACCGTACTGCGGCGTTCATCGTCCGTCTTCCGGTGTCTGTCGTCCGTCGTCCGTCGGTCTGTCGTCTGTCGTCCGTCCTTCAACCCTTTTCTTTTGAACAATTTCTTCTGAAGAACCTTCGGGTCATAATATTTGGCCAGTGGGTACATTGTACCTTGGATTGAGTGCTATAACGTTTTGACCTACTTTCAAGGTCACTGGGGTGAAATATGTTAAAAATTTCAAACAACTAGAGTCATGATACTTGCGTATGTTATGAAAACCAGCAGTGCAAATATGTTTTTCAATCAAAGTAATGAGGTCAAAGGTCAACTTTAAGTACTAGTCGGGTCAAATGCCAACTTTGGTTAAAGCTTTAACAATCTTCCTTTCAAGTTCTATAAGACCCAGGGTCATGATATTTGTCCAGTTGGTACCTGGGATGGAGTGCTATGATATGTCCTCATTTAAATGACCTTGACTTACTTTCAAGGTCACAGGGGTCAAATATGTTAAAAATTTCAAGTTAAGAAAAAAGAGTTTATCACAAAACAGTTTCTGTTTTTATACGCCCGTCGATAGATGGTACGTATTATGTTATCACGCGGGCGGGCGGGTGGGTGGGCACACATTAGCTACTGCTCAATAACTTGAGTAATTTTGAGTGGATTCATTTCAAACTTCATAGGATGGTTCATTGCTATTAAAGCTCGGACAATTTCGATATCCAAAATTATTCGTTTGTAATTTACGGAGTTTTGGCCTTTCTAGAATTGCCGAAACAGTTTCCGCTCAATAACTTGAGTAATTTTGAATGGATTCAGTTCAAACTTCATAGGAAGGTTCATTTCTATGAAAGCTTGCACAAGTTCGATAACCATTATCCGCCTGCTATTAAGGGGCCCTTTATAGAATTGACGTAACGGTTTCTGCTCAATAACTTAAGGTTTATTTCTATGAAAGCTTGCAATAGCCAAAACTATTTGCCGGTTATTTACGGAGTTATGGCCCTTTATAGAATTGCCGAAACAGTTTTTGCTCAATAACTTGAGTAATTTTGAATGGATTAATTTCTTGGTAGGAAAGTTCATTGCCATGTAAGCTCGGACAAGCTTGATCAGATTTGACGCTTATCTCTCCAAAATTTATGCACGTTTGGCCCTTGGTGGCAAACTGCTCATTTTTCATCTGAATGGCGTATCATGTATCGTCTCGCGGAACTCTTGTTTAAGACTGTATTTGTGTGTCTTAAAATACCTTAATTATCAAACTGTCAAAATCTTACCAATAACCGCTGTAATACAACTACATGTACCGTAATTGAGGTAATAAGTCCCAAAGCCCTTATATTTAGAGCCCCACTACTAACTTCTAGTCTATGTGACCATAATTTACAAACTTGAAACATGTGTCTATTACGGCTATTTGTGAATTTAAAACATCTCTAATCGCCCAGTGCACATTTTAGATCGAATACGGTAATACTTCTCCTTAACTCATTCGCCCTCGAAGACACATTTGAACCCTTCCAATTCAAAGGTTGGAATAGTTCATTATGAAATTTTAGGGGTGAATGAGTTAATATACAAACTCTGATGTATGTTGAAAATAAAATTTGATACAATACTGTGAAATCGATAACTTTTGTGGAGTAATTTGTTGATATCGTGGATAATATTCATCCACGAATTCTTAAGTCCATGAAATAATCACAAGTTTGATATAAAGCGATTCTCCATTTAAGTGAGTACTCGTAATCCACAAATTCATGTACCCACAAATGGTGTTTTGTTGGGAAACCACGAAATTATGGCCCCACAAAAATATCGGACTTCACAGTAATTTTTAATTTTTTTTGTCACTGTTATTTCCAGTTTTATCCTTGCCCCATTTGCCTTTCATCAAGAAGGCTAACTTAGCATAGTTTATTTTATTTTTTTCAAATATCCAACATAAAATGTATTGGAGGAAATATATCACCATTGATTGCATGCAATAAGGTTTTACTTGGAAGATAGATATTTTAGCTGTCTGACTAGCAAGTTTGGACAGTATCAATGATCGGAAAAGCCCTGTCTGAATTTTGCATATATTTCATCCTCCAGCATGTGAACAGGGCAGATCTTGACTCTGCTGTTACATAATGAGAGACTTTATGTGAGCCTTTTTTTTATCTCTTTGGGGTATATTTTACTTGAATCATTTTTGCAATGTTTCCTTGTTAACATTTTGAATTAAGCTGTGAAGATATGTATATATATATTTAAAAAGTGTATAAAAGAAATGGAAAGTATGAGAAAAATATAACAAATTTACATGAATCACAGTATATTGTACGGATGTACAAGGCAAGAAAAAGGAGGCGGGTCAAGTCTCTTATGAAAAGTAAAAGATTTTATTTGTATTATTTTATTTCCAAATTGAATAGAACTACCCCGGTACATGAATCATAAGACATGTCTTTCCGACAAAATGTACAGCAAAACATTCCCTGTAGTATTTATTAGCTCACCTGCCCGAAGGGCTAGTGAGATTATGCCATGGCGCGGCGTCCGTCGTCCGTCCTTCGTCCGTCACCTTTTGCTTTTAACGACTTATTCTGAAGAATGGACAGGCCTAGAGTCATTGTATTTGGGTTATAGCTTCGTTGGTAGGAGCCTGACAAAGTTTGAGAATGTAAATGACCTTGACCTACTTTCAAGGTCACAGGGGTCAAATATGTCTAACACTTTAAACGACTTCTTCTGAAGAACGAAAAGGTATAGAACTTTCATATTTGGCTGATGGCTTCCTTGGATGGAGCCCAACAAAGCTTGAAAATGAAAATGACCTTGACGTACTGACAAGGTCACAGCGGCCAAATATGTCGAACACTTCAAACGACTTCTAAGAAGAACTAAAAGGTATAGAATCTTCATATTTGACCGATGGCTTCCTTGGATGGAGCCCAACAGAGTTTGGGAATGAAAATAACCTTGACATTCTTTCAAGGTCACAGGGGTCAAATGTGTCAAACTCTTCAAACAGGTGTACCCGTCCGTCACAGGCAGCACGTGTTTATATTACAAAATTATCAATGTATACAGGGAAATTTTCACCCAGTCAAACTTTCGCCCTTTGCCCGTAAAATCAATTTTCACCTATTGTAAGTTTCTCCTTTCACATTTAATTACTATGTATAATATGCTTTTTATCATCCTCGATGTCCAGGGGCAAAATTGAAGGCACGAAGATAGCTGTTTGAATTGTCTCAGGTAAAAAAAAGCATGACCAATCGCTAGGCTGATACCTGTCCTTTGAAGAGAGACACCCAACTTCAAAGCCTGTCAATGTTCACCGTTACGTGACTTCGAGATTCTTTTGATGTATATCAAAGGCTCAAAGTAGTCTTTTTGTCTCATCGACAATTTTGCGCACACTGAGTTTCAATTTCGCTATGACATATTCCAGATGTGTAGAGAGCGTAAGTGAGCGTAACCCCTGGATATTGAGGATAGCTGTTAACTTACATTCGCTGTAATGATATTATAAATCGCCATCATAATGGAGGGCTTAAAAGGCAAAAGTTAACCTGCAGCGAAAATGTCCCGGTGTCATATACCATTTTCATCCCCCATAAAATACTCATCCGGATAAGCATCTTATGGGGATGAATATTTTATAGAACACCGGTATACAGTATGTCGAGGCTACTATAATAACTCGTTCAAGTGGAAAAGTTTAGACCCAGCCCTGAGATCATGAAAGTCTAAAAATTGTCTTAAACTTTGACTTAACCAATCATAAATAACGTCATGAAAAGTGATGTCATACATGCCTAGCAACAAATAAAAACACACATAAGAAATTAAATGTGATTCCGTACTTTGAACTTTTTTTTCAACAAATGTTCATTAAGGATCCTTGTCCCACTGTGGTTTTTCCTATGTACAGTTACCTCCCTTTAATTTTGCATTGAATATAACTGTTGCAAAGTTGAGCCAGCACACTTCGCTGATCAGGTAGCTCAGTCTGTTAGAGTCATAGTATAACACTCGTAGATACAGGGTTCAAATTCCTGTGTAGCTCTGCTACATTTTTTTCACTGCATTTTATTGAGAACACTGTTGATTACACTTTGTTCATTTCACCCTTTCATTTTTCATAAAAGTCCCACAAAATATGTTTTTCTTTTCAGAAATGATTTTATAAAAGTTTTCTTCAAGCGACATACCAGAAAAACACACTTTCTTATACATATTTATAGTTTTTGGCAGGTTTAATTTTCTGTACGTGGTTGTCATTTTTAAATCTGTCATATTTTCATTTGAAAATATTCTATATATGATGAGTTTCGGGTGCTAGTAAATCTCAGGAATCTTAAAGGATAATGAAAACCTTTAAATTGGCACAACATGAAATCTTTGACACTTAAGCATTGTGTTTGTAACCAAGATTATCGGTTGTTTACCAGAGGAAACCGCAAAAACAGAAACTTTTGTGTGTGGAAATGTTCGAATAATGACTCTTTGAACTGATTGCAGTATGGGAATTTTCGCAATGGCAATGTAGTTCTGAAATCTTTATATTCCTTTTTTCTTTAATATTTAGAATCTATGAAAAAACTATTCATGTGTGGATATTTTTGGCAATCATGCAAAATATGTGAACATTTCCCACCAATATATTAAATAGTATATAAATTAACAACCCAACCTAATAAGGATTCGTATTTATCCTCAGACCTGCCGACTGTGATTGTTAGCCAAACCACTTACTTAGTCGTTACTGGTCAGGCCGTCACCCTAAGCTGCCAGGTTTCCGGAACACCAGTGGTCACATTCGTTGCATGGAAACGGAGTAAAAATGGAGTGATCTCCACCTTGACCATCGATGGGTCACACTACAGCGGTGGTACGACAGGAAGTCCATCCCTGATCATCAGTAGTGTCGACTGTGGCGATATAGCTTCGTATGTCTGTACTGTGTCAAACGCTGTGGGAACATCAACTAGCGACACGATCTTCTTATCCCTAACTGGCAGTAAGTTTGTATTACCGTTTCATTGTTTTCAAATATTTACATAAGAGCGGTATTTTTTGTTTGACCAGAACTAAGAAAGTTTCAAACTGTTTCAGAGAATTTTTCAGGGAGTTTTAGGCAATTATATTCAATCTATTTAGTCCATGCTCATTGCTAAATAAAAAAATTACTCATACTATGGTAAAAATGTACAAAAAATTTAAATAACCATTTTCCTGCCAATTTATTAAAAGTTTTTTGGCAAGTATAAGGAATTTTTTTTTTGAATGAATTTTAATCATAAATACTGATATTTTGCCTGTAGCTTTATTAGTCCCCTACTGGGAAACCGGGGGACTATAGTTTTTCCCGTCCGTCTGTCCGTACGTCCGTCTGTCCGTCTGTCCGTCTGTCCGAAGAGGTTTGTCAGCACTCTAGAGCCTTCATTCTTTCATGGATTTTAATCAAACTTTACACACATGTAAAGAATTAAAATATCTTCAACAAGTTCGAGTTTCAAGGTCATCGGATCAAGGTCAAGGTCACTATTACTATAAATAGAAAAACTTTGTCAGCACTCTAGCGTCTTCATTCTTTCTTGGTTTTTAATCAAACTTCACACAGTCATAAA